TCAACTAGAGGATCCTTAACTACAAGATCTCTTATTAATCCTATCTCAATATACGTTACTAGATCCACAGTTGCCTGTTCCCAGTTCGGTTCTGCAACATACTTTTCTAAGAAGCAATCCTTGATGCACTGAACAAATTCATCTTCCATGTTACTTTTGTCAATCTGATGTGACCAATCAATATGCAGATTAAAATCACCCATGACAATTGTAGTACCTTTTTTTTACATGCCTGCATTATTTCCTAATTTATATTTTGTCCTACAGTGAAGCATCTTTTCAGGAGCCTATACATGAGTCCCATCCACGACTTCTTTCCTCTGCTATTCCTTATTGTCATCCAAAATGATTTCACATCACAATCTATTACACCTATATCATTATTCATTGGGACTGGAGGGTTTGAGTTATAACGATAGCCTGGGACTTTAACTAACTGGAGTGTAGGAGGTTGAGGGCTGAACTTATAGAAGTTTATAAAATCATGGGGGCATAGATAGGGAGAACAGCAAAGGTCTTTCCCTAGGGTGGGTGAGTTCAAAACTAGGGGCGTATTTTTAAGGTAAGAGCAGAAAGATTTAAAAGGGATCTGAGGGGCAATGTTTTTACAGAATGGGAAATGAACTGTCGGGAGATGGTAGATGCAGGTACAGTTACAACATTTAAAAGACATTTGGATAGGTAATGAATAGGAAGGTTCAGAGGAGTATGGACCAAATCCAGGCAAATGGGACTAGCAGAGATAGCAAGGGCCTAGTTTAGTTTAGGAAACTTGGTCAACATGGACGAGTGCGATTGACTGTTTCCATGCTGTATGACTCTAAACATACCCCACCTCTCTTTCATTTTTACATTTTCGTTTGAAACATTGAATACCCTAGAATTTTGAGATCCCAGTCTTGGTCAGAAATAAGTCACTTGTATAGATTTGGTAAAGCGCTTGGAATAGAGTAGTAGGTGTGAACTCATGTTCTCAAATGATACCAACCCTCTATGGAGAATATAGACAGATAACCAAGTCATGAGTACTTAATGGGCACTTTGGGTGTTCTGTTTTCATGAAATAAATGTTATATATAAATGCAAGTTCTTTGTTGTGGATGTGTAAAATAAATGAAATAGCATTAAATGTACGTGTCTGTTATATCTTTGTGTCTTTCACTCTTGCACAACATCTGAGATAATATCAGCAGATTTATTACAATTGTCTGTGTTGAAGGGCTGCAAACATTCTTGGTACCCAGGGACATGAGAAGTCTGACTTTGTCTGGAAATGTAAATCCATAAAGCCATCTTCTAAACAGTGGATTTGCATCACGAAGCAATTAAATACAGCAATAACACTCAATGCTATAATGTTGATTAGCACGTATCATCTGATTTCTGGTTGGGCTTACTCAAATAAGTATTGTTTAATACATTAAAACACTGGGCAATGCAGATTTTGCACAAGTGGCTTCGTAGTAATTGTTAAGACTCCTTTGGTCCTGTTTAGACCCTGCAAAGCTGATTAGGTTACCACAATATTCTTGGACAGAATCAAGTTACGAGTTTACCAAATGGTTTGTTTAACCTCAAGTACTTACAGACAGACTAAGTAACACACACACATCTGACCCATTGAAGTGCGTAATTGTGAACTAAGGAGATATTTAAAAATATACCCACCTATCTAGACACTTTTTTAAAAATCATAGATAACTCTCTTTAAATTATATAAAGGTGAATGGGAGCTTGTGTGGGGAACTAGAGTGAAATATTGGGTTTAAACTGTTAGTTTGTGATAATCATCTGTCTCTGTAAAACCTTAATCCAAGAAGCATCAGAATATTAAATGTTGCACCCAGTCATGTAGAGCTGCAGGGATATCAGATAGTTGGGATATAATCCAGCCAGCTGCTGCTCCATTCCTTTGTGATTGTAATGGAGTAAATATGATGATCAGAACCTATAATGCATCCATGCTGGAAGAAAATTCAGCACAATGTGTTTAGTTCAATCTCTTTTATTTAATCTAGTCTCCTTTCTCCCTTTAAAGGCAATGAGTATGCTCTTGTACTTTGCTTCAGTAACCTTTCTTCATGTGTCAGTCTGCATGTTATCAATTGTTGGAGACCTCACAGCTAAACCTGACCTTGTTCCTCACCTATTTATCATACATTAGTACTTCACAGGGAAAGTTATCAGATCAACCTAGCCTAGGGCCACAGGATAAATTCAGTCTACCCTATAACCATATGGCTGAGATTAGTTAATATGTCAGGAAGCTGGATTCTAACCTTGAACTATTGAGAAAACCACATTTATTGAAGTGTTTACTTACATGCGTATTATTTGAATTAGAATTTTGATGACACTTTCCCTAAAGAACCGCTTCCAAGGGATATTGCAGGATTTTGTAGTTCAGATATTATTCTTCCATTGTGTGATAGCCAGAAGTTAAGTTGAGTGCAGTTCCACCAAATTTAACTGAAAGTTGTGATAGAAACTGAATCTATTTTAATTTCATCCCTCCCCCACCAAATCCTCCATCGTCAGATATATTGCTTGTTAGATTCCACCACATTCCTGCTTCCCATTTATTGTGCAGTCATGTTTATTGGAGCCTGTGTCTTTTTGTATCTGTCTGTGTTTGTTCTGTCTGGCTGCTGGAATGCTGCCTGGGCTAACCAGGAATTTATATAGCACCATTCATAACCTCAGGATGCTGCAAAGCATTCCACTGTCAAAGAGAATTGCTTTTGCACTGTAAGCACAGTTGTAGGACAAATAGAGATGCAATGCTATGGTTCTTGACAAGATTTACAGAAGCAAATTGCCCACTCCAGGTTTTGTTTATCTTTCCTGAAGGTATTAACGTTGCTGGAATACAGTTCTGAGCAATATGTCTGCCATACTATTTCTAATTGAGTACTGATTCCATTGTGTGGGCCTAGACAGTAACAGTCTTTAGGCACTTCTGTCATGTGAATAGTACTTAATGGAGGCAATGAGGGTCTCACCTGCTGGCTGGACAGCTGGCAAGCCCTATATGTTTCCTTTTTTTTGATGTGGAGGTGCCGGTTTTGGACTGGGGTAGACAAGGTCAGAAATCTCACACTACCAGATTATAGCCCAACAGGTTTATTTGAAAACACAAGCTTCCGGAGTCTTACTCCTTCTAACTAACACCTTGTTATTAACACCTGAAGAAGGAGTAAGACTCCAAAAGCTTGTGTTTCCAAATAAACCTGTTGGACTACAACCTGGTGTCGTGTGATTTCTGACCTTCCTTTTTTTTGGCATTTAATTCTGTAGACCTTCCCAATCAGACAGTCATTTAGGAATAGCAGGTCTTAGCTAGGATCGAGCGCCCTTTACTGTGGAAACCATTCATCCCGAATTAGAAGACTGGCAGCTGGACATTTCTGAGCAGGCCACTGGGGGAGATGAGACCCAGGGCCACTAAAGGACCCAGGACACTGGTTCAGGGGAGGGTTTACAAGGAAAAGGACTGGAGTAACAAGGACAGGAGGCTTTCCATCAGTGCCTCACCCCCTTCCTTATACTTGAAGGAACAACCAGACTTGGGTGGCATGGTGGCACAGTGGTTAGCACTGCTGCCTCACAGCACCAGGGACCTGGGTTCGATTCCAGCCTCGGGCAACTGTCTGTGTGGAGTTTGCACATTCTCCCCTTGTCTGCGTGGGTTTCCTCCGGTGTGCAGGCTGGGTGGATTGGCCATGCTAAATTGCCCGTAGTGTTCAGGGAAGTGTAGATTAGGTGGGTTACGGGGGGATGGGTCTGGGTGGGATGCTCTGAGGTTCGGTGTGGATGTGTTGGGCCAAAGGGCCTGTTTCCACACTGTAGGGGTTCTATAAAAAAAATTCTATGAACAACCATGACACCCTGACCCCACCCCACCTTATCACCCCCCAAACACTGGAAATCCTCCAGCAAGGGTCCCTTCCCCTAACAGGAGCAGGCTCCCAAGTCACCAACCTCCTGCTTGATGAAATGCTCTGTTACCAAGTTTGCCTTGAGGGAAGGTATTATACTCTGCCTGGTGCATTCCTGCTAAGCCACCTTCTTGTGGCAAAGTTTACTAGAGTGTGGTTAGAAGTAGAATTCCTGACATTTTCTGTCTTTAACCATGGGGGAACTGACTAATTGTAACAGCACAGCAGTTGTTGCAGCTGACATTAATTTCTCAATGCTGTTCATGAATCAAACCATGAATTTCCTTGGCTGTTAGTTCACTCTGGAAACATCAGGGAAGCCAGGTAGCTATTTGTTTTTAAAAAAAAGCCTTACATTGTTTGTGATGTAGTTGATGTTGTGTTTGACGCTGTGTGATATCCCCTAAGGGCCACCATCTGTGTTTCACCATTGAGTTCACTTCAGGTGATTTGGTAAGCAATGATATATTGGCTTAAGTTAACTGGTCATAGAAATGTGTTTTTGTGTAGCATTGTAGATGAGGTGTCACTGAAACCTTGTATCTTAAGTGGCCCCAGTGGTTCAATACACTAATTAGTGGTAATAAGCTGTAAAGTCCAGAAATGCCATACTTTGATTCTGGTCTCTGTTGAATTAATTGATCTCAGCCAGAGCTGTAGTGCAGTTGGCTTCAGTTATCAGGGGCTAAGGAAAGGAAAATCTGACAAGTTTCTCATCAATAGTCTCTTTTTTTTCAAATCAACAAGTTTCTCATCAATAGTCTTTTTTTTCAAATCAACTGTTCACATGTAGGAATTGAACGATGATAGGATTGGCTTTTGATGTACCCTGTACCAGAAGGGTAATGGGAGAGAATCTTGAGGGGAGACAATACTTGTTTCTCTTCCACATATATTCAAGCATATCGTGTATTTAAAGGTTAACTGCAGGCAGTTATTTTAATGCTGCAATATACACTACTGTTGTTAGCTTTCAAAAGGCGTCATTGGTGCTGGATGGGTAGTAGAAACTTGGTTCTGTTAAAACACCAGCCTTATAACTCCTCTTCATCCTTTTTTTAGATTCCAAGCTGGGAAAGGCCTGGTATTGTACCCAGAGATCGGCGACAAGCTGGATATAATCTGTCCGAAAATGAACAATCAAGACCAGTATGAATATTACAAGCTGTACCTGGTGACTGAGGCCCAAGCAGAGGCGTGCAGCACTGTCATCAACCCTCACTTGCTTGTTGCATGTAACAAACCTGATAAGGAAATAAAATTCACAATCAAATTCCAGGAGTTTAGCCCCAACTACATGGGGCTAGAGTTCGCTAGAAACCGAGATTACTTCATTATCTGTGAGTACCCATTGGACAGGGACATTATGATTAGGTTGCAATAATGCAGGATTCCTGGCAATGAAATCTAGGTCAAACTAAGTCATTGTCAGTTTAACTAAGCAGTATACACATTCTACATGAAAGAAAGACTTAGCTGACTGAATAGTAGTCATTAATGGGTGTTTCTTTTTCTGTCTGGAGGGACGTTTTTAGGAGAATTCCCCAGGTATTTGTGCAAAGACCCTTGCTGTTCCTAGTTTATATTAATGACCCAGTTTACTGGACATAATTTCAAAATTTGCATATAATATGAAACTTGTGAACAGTGAGGAGGATAATGTAGAGCTTCAAAAGGAAACAGACATGTTGGTGGAACAGGCAGACCAGATGAAAATCATTGCAGTGAAGTAATTCAATTTGGTAGGGAGAATGTGTGGAAAAACAAAACAAAGTAAGAATACAGTTCCAGAGGGAGACCAGGAACAGGGTGTTTATGTGTATAAGTCATTGAAGATGGCAGACCAGTTTGAGAGAGTAATTCATAAAGCATACAGTATCCTAGGCTTTGGAGATAGTAGGAACTGCAGATGCTGGAGAATCTGAGATAACAAGGTGTAGAGCTGGATGAACACAGCAGGCCAAGCAGCATCATAGGAGCAGGAAGGCTGATGTTTCAGGCCTAGACCCTTCATCAGAATTTATCTCAGCATCCTAGGCTTTATTGTTAGAACATTGAGTAGAAAAGCAAGGAAGTTATGTCAAACTTGTATAAAACAATGCCTTGGCCTCGGTGTATTGCGTCTGGCTCTAGGTGCAAAGCTTTAGGAACAATATGAAGACATTAGAGAGAGTACAGAAAAGATTAGTGAATAAAATTCCAGGGTTGAGAAACTTCAGTTACAATAAGATAGATATTTCCCTTGGAGAAGAGGTTTGGAGAGGTTTGATAGAGTTCAAAGTTCTAAGTCATGAGGGATTGAGACAGAGAGAATAGAAGAAAATTGTTCCCACTGGTATCATGGTTGAGAACTAATTTAATATAACTAGCAAAGGAACAAGAAGTGACGTAGGAGTATTTTTACACACAGAAAATGAATTGCCCGGAAGTGCGTGGACGAAGGTTCAGTTGTAGTTTTCAGATGGGAATTTGATAAGTGCTAGAAGGAAAAGCAACATCAGGGCAATGGGAAAACCTGGAGCAGCCGGGACAGCTGCATTGCACTTGCCTGGTGCCAGCACAGACTTAATGGGCTCAATGACATCCTGCTGTGCTTATGACCATCCTATGGTTCTGTGGTTCATTTAGATTTATTTTTTAATAGTAATGATCACTTTGAAAATTTACAAGTAGCATTTTCAGCTTTCAATTTTCCTACTTCAAACATGCACTAAGATATACTCAGAACTAGAGTAAATCATGTTCTCATAATACTGAAAGCCCAAATGGGACTTTTGCTCATTTTGCGGTTGGTAGGGAAATTGAGTAAACATCAAAAGTGAGGGGCTATTTGATGTAAATTATGACAAACGGCAGTTAACTTCCTCAATTGCTTTTTTTTATAAGAAACAGTGGGCTAATGACTGTTCACAGTAACAGAAAGAGGAATGTATTAAATAAGACATTGAAATGATGAACTGAGGAAATAAAACTCAAGAGATTTTTTGAATGTTTTTCAATAAGAATGTTGCCTCAGTAACTTGATGCTGCAGAATCAACCAATATGACTTCAAATATCCAATTAGGCAACAAGGTTTAGTAGTTACAGCAATTTGATTCCATAATTTATTGGAACAAAAATCTGAATTCTTTTAAGATTGCAAGATAACTACAGATGAGGAAGACCATTCAGCTCATCCATCTAGAATATCTATACGGTTTCCTAATTGCAGCATCGAGTTGGCTCTTAATTGATTCTATGGTTAATGTTTGATATTATATTTGGTGTTCCACTTCTTTTCAGGACCTGTTGATAGTAAATTCAATCTTTGGAATTTATACCTGTGGAGCATTGTTCTACTCTCAGCTTGGTTTGAAATAATTGTTTGGATCTACCTATTTAATATTGCTTCCTATGTTTTACACCAGTATATATTACTCTTAAGCAGATTTGTTTAAGACTGAAAAGTCCAATAGCTGAAAAGTACAAGGTATCATTTTCTCTACCTTTCTGAAGAATTGAGGCAGTCTGCCTGTCTGCAGCCATGAAAGCAGTGAATTGGCTGGCAAGAGGCTGAAGACTGGATTCCCCCATTCAGGAACAGCATGCACCAGCTAAGACAGCTGCCAACCACTCAGAGGCTGGCATTTCACCAGCAGTGTGGGACAGAGCTGTGATGAGTTGGATCAGGATTTGAGCAGGTGTTTGGGGATATCAGTAGGTAGAAAGCTGACAGGTCCAAAGAGGTGGCTGCTTGGGATTTGAGAGGCTCATGTGGAGAGAGCAACCTGATGAAGAAGGAGTAAATGCTTAAGCAAGGGTCCTCCAAATCTGTCAGACTGGACACTTGACTTCGGCCACTCTTGCTACTGGTTAAAACCCAGTGACGGTGACATTAATTTCCCACTCGAGGGCTTCGGTTGACTCACCTGATGCTGCTCGACTGCTGCTTTTATTGTAGGGGCATGCGGTGGACATGTGGGTGGTAGGAAGGTCACTGGTTGGCTTTAACAAGATCTCTTGTGTTCAAACTTACTGGTGTGTCATGTAAAACCTAGCCCCAGGTTCCTCCAGTTACTGCTCATCATTCCAATCTCAAACATCAGGGACCAACCTTGTGGCTGTTCTTGCATGGTTTCCAATGCTTGGATATCTTCTTTTGTGGCTGAATAACCTGAACATTTCATTAAACTCTAGCTGTGGTCTGACCAGAGCATTCTACAGTTTTGTGATGACGTACTCTGAAATAGTTTTCATCCTATAATCTGCCACTGCTGAGTAATTGGGACAGAGGTGGAGGGAATGGGGTTATACTATGAACTAATTTCCTCTTACGGCAAGAAATTCTTGCTTCCATTCTCCCTGTCACAAAAACTGAATTCCTTCTGAACCATGAGGCATTCCTGCACAAATTCAAGCGGGAGTTACCATGAACACTCATGAGACTGAAGTCAAATAGAGGCTTTTGAGTGCTCACAACTAAGATGTGTTATCTTCTGAGATTCAATGAAGAGAAGGAAATATTTTAGTTACTAAAACAAATAGGTACAGGCCAATGAAATGACTCCAGCTATTATGCCCAAAATATGTACCTCCTGCTGGATTATGCCCACTATAAAATCATAGTCTGGTTTAAAAACAGATGGAGATCATTTAACTCATCTTTACTGTGCTGCTCTCTGGGGGGAAAAAAAACAATTCAGCTATTGATTTTCCCATTGCACTGTAAATGCTTTTCTCTCTTCAAGACTATAAGATCATAAAAGAAGTAGGACATTCAGCCCCTGTGGTAACGGTAGCCCCTGCATCTGCTCTGCTATTCTATGATATTCAACGGCTGATCTGATAATACTCAATTCCACTTTTCTGCTTTTTCCCATTAAACCTTGATTTCTTTACTGATTATCAATCTGTCTGTCTTAGCCTTGAATGTACTTAATGATTCAGCCTTGACAGCACTCAATGGTAAAGAATTCCATACATTCATTGATAACAAGGTGTAGAGCTGGATGAACACAGCAGGCCAAGCAGCATCAGAGGAGCAGGAAGGCTGATGTTTCGAGCCTAGACCCTTCTTCAGAAATGGGGGAGGGGAAGGGGGTTCTGAAATAAATAGGGAGAGAGGGGGAGGCGGATAGAAGATGGATAGAGGAGAGGATAGGTGGCGAGGAAACAGACCGGTCAAAGAGGCGGGGATGGAGCCAGTAAAGGTGAGTGTAGGTGGGGAGGTAGGGAGGAGATAGGTCAGTCCAGGGAGGACGGACAGGTCAAGGGGGGCGGGATGAGGTTAGTAGGTAGGAGATGGGGGTGGGGCTTGAGGTGGGAGGAGGGGATACGTGGGAGGAAGGACAGGTTAGGGAGGCGGGGACGAGCTGGGCTGGTTTTGGGATGCGGTAGGGGGAGGGGAGATTTTGAAGCTTGTGAAGTCCACATTGATACCATTGGGCTGCAGGGTTCCCAAGTGGAATATGAGTTGCTGTTCCTGCAACCTTCGAGTAGCATCATTCTGGCATTGCAGGAGGTCCAGGATGGACATGTCGTCCAAGGAGTGGGAGGGGGAGTTGAAATGGTTCGCGACTGGGAGGTGCAGTTGTTTAGTGCGAACCGAGTGTAGGTGTTCTGCAAAGTGGTCCCCAAGCCTCTGCTTGGTTTCCCCGGTGTAGAGGAGGCCACAACGGGAACAGCGGATGCAGTATACCACATTAGCAGATGTGCAGGTGAACATCTGCTTGATGTGGAAAGTCTTCTTGGGGCCTGGGATGGGGGTGAGGGGAGAGGTGTAGGAGCAGGTGTAGCACTTCCTGCGGTTGCAGGGAGAAGTGCCGGGTGTGGTGGAGCTGGAGGGGAGTGTGGAGCGGACAAGGGAGTCACGGAGAGAGTGGTCCCTCTGGGAGGCAGATAAGGGTGGGGAGGGAAAAATGTCTTTGGTGGTGGGGTCGGATTGCAGATGGCAGAAGTTTCGGAGGATGATGCATTGGATCCGGAGGTTGGTGGGGTGGTACGTGAGGACGAGGGGGATTCTGTTTTGGTTGTTATTGCGGGGAGGGGGTTTGAGGGATGAGTTACGGGAAATGCGGGAGACACGGTGGAGGGCGTTCTCGACCACTGAGGGGGGGATGTTGCGGTCCTTGAAAAATGAGGACATCTGAGATGTACAGGAGTAGAATGCCTCATCCTGGGAGCAGATGCGGCAGAGGCGAAGAAATTAGGAATAGGGGATGGCATTTTTACAGGAAGGTGGGTGGGAGGAGGTGTATTCTAGGTAGCTGTGGGAGTCGGTGGGCTTGAAATGGATATCGGTTTCTCGGTGGTTGCCCGAGATGGAGCCAGAGAGGTCCAGGAAGGAGAGAGAGGTATTAG